CTAACTCCGAATAAAAACAAGCACATTAACATGTTTCTGATGTCAAGGTTCAGAGTTGTTTAATTTTATATAACTTAATTTTCTTTATTCTAATTGTGGACTTTGCTAACAAGTTTATGATAGGCAATTTTGACCTTCTGTTTTCATGCTCAAAGAGGGCATACTATTAAAGACTGGGCTCTTGCAGCTGTTGTCTATTGTGTTACCAAATACAGTGGTAGTCTTCTGTTGATAGATCAGTGTGGATAGACTAAATAATCCAAATGCCCAAAGGAAACAATTGCTTACCTAATATCGTCAAATTAATTACATAGTTGTTGAGTCTCTACTTCAGTTTGAAATGTGTATGGTCATTAAAGGAAAAAAAAACTACCTGCTTTAAATATGTTTATTCTTATGAAAAGAGCTTAGTTCAAAGAACAAAAGTCCTAGCCATATAAGAAAGTTAACTGCATAAGACTATTGCCCCCAGTTTTCTCTTGGCAGGGTCCCTTGGAGCTCTAAAATTCTAAATTTAAATATTCCCCACTCCTTCAAAAAAAGAAAATGTTCTACCACCTAGGGTTCTAAGCAAATAGAACAGGAAAGAGTTGCAAAAATTGCTCTTGCCTCCTACAGAACCCAGAACCCAGGACCTACAGAACTCTTGTTGTTCCTTTGCCATACTCAGTGCCTCCCGTCCCCTCTTTCTGAGCCCTAAGTGTCTTAGGATAATTATTGATATTAATATTAAGGCATGCTCTTAGACCCACTATTCCTTCCTACCTACCCAGAGGATACAGAAGACTAAGAAACTCAGCCTGTTCTTTTGTGTTTCTTTCACTCTTTGCTGCTCAGTTCTTTCCACCCTCAGCTATTTTATTCTCGCTTTTACTCTACCTAGTCTCATTTTTTCTCTATTTTCTTCCAGATTTTTCCCATTTAAACCTCTGTCCAATTTTCTTTCCTTCTGGGGAGAAAAATATTTTTTAAAAAATAAGCTAATTATGCATGATTAATTTAAATGTAGTCCTTATTGCATCAGGAAAAAAGAAAGCCAGGAATTTTATAATTAAGCTAATCATAACGAAACACAGGGTCAGCAAGCAGAAGCACTTATAAGTGCACTGAAAAAGTCCTGCCAAATTTCCACAGAACTTTTCTCTCCTCCAATGTTGCTTATTTTCTTTAAATACAAAAAGCATTTAACTACAAGAATATTTATTACCTATGTTTTATCAATGTTGCAACAGAATTGCTCAGATTTTCAACCACCTTATAGGTTGTCGTTTGCTGTGTTTTGAGTTAGCCTGGGAGCCTGTGTGCATTTCAGCCCCTTTCTGTGGAATTCTCTGTTCTAGATTTCAAAGACACCAATACATTCTTTGAGTATTCCCTAAATCTTCAACAATAAACTCACAGCTTTGTAGATTCTCATTCTGGTTCTTGGAGAGAATGTATGTCTTTACATATTTACAGATTCATGTGTGAAACTTGAGATTAGCCTTCGGGAGCCTTGTGTTAATTAAAAAAGGGAAATCAATGGGCCTGTGAATCCACCTTTTCCTGGGGTTGATTAAAATCCAAGAAGAAATTAAGACCAGGTTTAACAGAAAAACTACACGGGTGGGAGAAATATTTACCATGTATACACGACTGTCTCTCAAGCACATACAAAATGCATTATTTTACTTTTTTTTTTTTATTGGAGAAAAAAGATATTAAAAAATCCAATGACTGATTTTGCTTCTTGAACCAAATCAAATATTTTCTTGTCAGAGCTCTCATAACTGCAGCCTGCGGAGGTCACGGCCTTAACTTTCTCCTTCAGATGGTCTGTGAGTGGAATGTCCTTACGATTAAGGCTCCTTTTGTTTTCCTTGGGAGGGTTTTGCTTACACTGGCAAGCGCCTGAGACGAACCAAGGTTCTCTAGACTCTGTTTATTAGATTTTTATCTTCTTATCAGAGTCTTCCTTCTTAAATCATGTCAGCATTTTACCACTCTTCAGGGATTCCTGGTGTTTTATTGTCTATGAACTGCTTGGGGGGTGGTCCGGGAGGGAGCGAGTCTAACAAATATAACATTTATATAATAGGAGGAATGGGAAGGAGGCTGCATTCTCCTATTATTCCCACACTCACCGATGCTTCCTCTCTCCCTGCCCATGAGCCCCCGGGAAGCCCATCACCAGCTCAGCCAAAGCTTATTCGTCAACAGGGTGACATGGCTTCTCTGTGGACAAGCTGCTTTTCAGTCATTTTGAGTGGCTCTTTAAACCCGCATGTCCTTGCTTAAGCCATTTTCAATCATCCAGAGAGACCATCGGGTGAGTGGGCGATTGCTTTGAACTTAAGAAGGTTATTGGCTTTTATTCATAGATGCAATCTGGGTGTAGAGGGTCCGTTCTCCTACCTGTTCTCTCTCACCACATTGGACTGAAACTTTAAAATAACCTCATGCAAAAGCACCCAAGCTTCATAGCCTCAACAGGAAAAAAAACAAAGGTGAGGAAAGCTAAGGCTGGGGTTTTATGGTGCAATGGAGGGAGGTGTCCGGAAACCAGGAAACGAAGAGGAATGCTCACTGCTTGGAACGTGAATCATCTATTTTCCCTTGCATTGCTACCCACATGACTCACAATAGTATTATTTTTCTTAACCAGAGGCTGATCATTCCAAGTCACGTGTATTTAAAAAATAAATAAATAAGTTCTAACCAATAAGGTTGCCTAGAAAAAAAAAATCTCAGAGAAAAGATTCCTATCTATCCATTGAGGCCATGAAGCGATTTTACTGTATTATTCCCTGTTGCTTTCAGAATCAGTAAGCACAGTGACAATAAAACAACTTCTAAAGAGGCATGAGGTTGTAGGGTAGTAGATTGTGCTGATATGCAAATGGTCTTGGATATGCATTGATTTTTATTTATTTCCTGTAAGCACATGTGAGATGAGAATTTGATCTACACTGGAGACAATAAGATAGTAAAGAGCATTAGCTTGTTTCCTAATGTTCATCCACCCTTTCAAAAACTATTTATTGAGTGCTTACCTGTGTAAGGCTTTGCTTATCTTGGAGTCCCCAGTCCCTGGGGACATTGGAATAACTGCCTGGTGTACACACTGCTCTATGTACTCTTGACTTACTGCACTGCCCCTGAGAACACAGAGTTCTCTTTCTAGTGATGAGTAGCTGTTTTACTCCTACTCTTAGTTAAGACCTCTGGGTATGTTCAGCTTTCCTTGGTAAGGAAGTGTGAATTCTATGGATAATCATGTTTTTTTGTTGTTTTTTTTTTACTCAACTCTAATGAATCCTGAATGACAATTTTTTTAAGTGCATTTTCCCAACTTATTAAAGCAATAAGTTCCTGTGGAAAAGTGCTTACCCTAACAGTTTCACGGCCAGCTTTCCCTTCCAGCTGATAACATAGCAGTGAAGGAGGAACACAAGGCTTGGAAATTTGGGACTAAATACTACCAACATGTTTTTATAGATAAAAATGAATAGTGATGAAAGATGTTTAAAATGTTATCATGGAGACTTCTATGCATTTTTTCAACTGAGTTTCTACTTAATTGGATGGTTTTCTTTTCCCCTCTCAATTCTCTTCTCACTGAAACTCAAGTTTGAAGAACTCACTCTCTTTACTAATCCATATACTAATACTTCATTTGCATGATTTTCTGGGACTTGAGTCATCCCCCTAATTAGGGTTCCCCTACTGTTTCAGCACCATTATATTTTTTACCTTCATAACTGACTTCCCTTAGCTTTCACAGAAAAAATATAATTATGAATAAGAGCCTAGTCTTTACTAGAATGTAAACCATAACTGTTAATATAATATAATAAAAGATTTAGTAGGACTATTGGTCTCATGAAACCTGAGCTTCCGGGACTTTCTAAAGTTAGTGAAATTATGTTAGTTACTGTTACTATTATAATAGTCTCTGAAAGATACTATAGTTGACCCATGGTTATTCATTGCTTCATCATTTATTCAGCCAACATGTATTTTTGAGCTACTATCTTCCAAACATAGTTTTAGGTATTAGCAGAAGGAAGAATTAAATGTAATAATTACATTAATAATTAATAATAATGAGTACATACATCATCATACAAGTTCCTGTATGAGCAGGATGAGTTCCTGCTTGAGTTCCTTTGTGTTTCATTAGAATGTAAACAGATATTTACAATACCATGTTAGGTGCTATTAGCCTCACGATGGAGACAGCCATGGGAATCTCCTCGAGGAAGGCACGGTTCCCAGTGGCTAGGGGACTTACTGGAGGTGTGATTAGAGGTGATATTCGGGGTTAGGGTAGGGTTTAGTTATGAAGGGCCACTGTGCATGGCAAAGAAGCTCGTGATGTTCAGTTGGTCTGATGTCTCTTCCCAGTGCAAAGAAAATTGATTTCCAGACTGTATGTAGTCAATTAGCCTATGGATCCTATCCCAAGTAGGATAGCCTTATTAATCACAAACATTTTACCATTTTTTGTGAGTTCAGCATGAGACACGATCATATCCATTTTATCTGAGACTATTTTGTCAAACCATTGCTTTTCATCTAGTTTATAAAAATAAAAGCATGAGATCTTGCTTTCTACGACCAAGAACAGTAGTGCCTCGCTTATCTGTGATTTCTGCAGTTTCACTTAACTGCAGTCAACTGGACTCCAAAAATATTACATCACTGTTCTTGTGCTTTGAGGCCATTATTAAATCAAATAAGGGTTACTTGAGCACAAGTACTGCCATACGGCTACAGTCCATCTGATGATGTAGGTAGCTACTAAGTGACTCATGGGCGGAGTGTAGACAGCCTAGGTACACTGGACAAAAAAGTGAGTCACATCCTGGGCAGGATGGAGCAGGAAGGCACAGGGTTTCATCATGTTATTCAGAATGTTGCACAATTTAACACTTATAAATTGTTTATTTCTGGAATTTTCATTTACATCACAATGTCTATGACACCCACATCACTTCCTCTCATCACATAGGCATTTTATCAGCTCACATCGTCACAAGAAGAGAGGCGCATACAGTGCAATAAGACAGTTCGAGAGCAAAAGTGAGACCACATTTGTATAGCTTTTATTAGGGTATATTATTATAATTGTTCTATTTTATTAGTAGTTATTGTTAATCTCTTACCATACCTAATTCATAAATTAAACTTTATCATAGGTATGTACATATAAGAAAAAACACAGTGTATATAAGGTTTGGTACTATCTGTAGTTTCAGGTTATACACTAGGGGTTTTGGAATGTGTGTGTTTGTGTGTATATATATATTATAAATATAACTATATGTTATAATATAACTATATTATATATATATTTTACTATATATTTTATACAAGATAAATATATGCTTATATACAGTATAGCTATATATCATATATACACACTATAACATATATAATATAACTCTTATCCTTTACGAAGTGGAGTGTGTTTAAGGTGATCCAGCCTACAATATAACTAAGAAATGAAATGCCACATTGTTTTGTGTGTGATCTACAATACATTATTTTGTTTTTATTTTACATGTTAAAATTATCCTTTTACTTTAAGACTATAGATACATCCACACTCTGTTTCATTTATTTTAGGGATGAAAATAAGATTTGATATTTTAGATTTTACGAAAATAAACTTGAAGATAGGAGCAACGTGAAGACTCTGAATGCCGAGCACAGAGCACTGAGGAGATGGGCTCCATGAGAAACAGCTCAGGGCATGATCATCCAGGTTCTGATTTGGAAAATAACACATCAGACAGATTCCATACATGCCTGCAGGTCACAGAAATGCTCTGGTGACACAAAGTTTTTACATGTGATACAAGTGCCGCTAATTAGACAATGTATTCTGATTCTAAGTGAGATTAAGAAAAAAAGTAAAAATGTATATGCCCCTAGAATTACTTTTAAATTATAGAACAAAAAGTCAACTGTTCTTTTAGATACTGAATTCGGGAGGAACTTGAGCTTATTTTGTCACTCAAGGTGAACAAGCCAGACATTTTCTAAGCTACAGCTCAATGATTTTTCTTTATCAATGAGCATTGACACATTGTCAAATGTGCTTTTGTGACTTTTCTGCCAAAGTCTTCAAACAGCCATTTCTTTCTTTTTTTCCTATACAGATAATTTTGCAAACTCAGTTAAGTGACACTTTTCAAAAACATAATCTGTTTGGAGAAAATTAATGAAAAGGCAAATATAGTAGCTAGTATCGTTGCATAAGACCTACTGTATAGCTCGAATGAAAATGTGAAGAAACTCCTGATGTAGAATCATCTCAAAATTTTACATTCGAACTAGTTTCCAAGTAGATCACATACTTCAGCTGCAGGTTAAATAATGTTTGTGCCATCTCTCTCTTTTTTTCTCTCTCCCCATTCCCACCTCTTTCCCAGTAATACCATATCTCCCATACCCACTCCTACACACACACACACACACACACACACACACACACACACACACACATGCCCCTTTTTGACTTCTATTTGTCATTTTCTCTGTCCCTGCAGGATATGGCTTGGCTATCATGAGTGTTTGGAATTGAAAGTGTGCAGAGCAGACAATCATGAAACAAAAAGAAAAGTTCAAGAATGAAATTATCAACCACATGTGCCCATCTAATTCTCATTTTTTTCTTCCATACTTGATCATTTTACATAGGCCAGCAAAGATTGGTTCTTGCTTAGAAACATATTCATAGCGAGATTCATGCCAAAGACTCCCTTGCCCCAGCCTTGAAATTAAAGTGAATGCTCTCTGATGATGAAAGGAGAAGATATATAAAATACAGACCATGTGGAGAAACCAGTTTAATTTCAGCCTCTCTACAAAATAGTAGATTGGAATTTCCCTAAGAAGAGTTTGTGTTTGTTTGTTTTGTTTTGTTTTCTAATTATAGACTTAGAAAACAAAACTTAGAGACTAAAGGAGGCAAACAACTAGTATGAATCTAAACTAACAAATACTTTTCTTGTAAAGCAAATGGATAATATTTATCAGAAGACTTTAAAATATATTGCCCACTGACCTATTAATTCAGGTTTTTAGAATATAGACCAAGGAAATAATCTGAAGCAAAGAAACAAATTTTTATGTCTGATGCCTCCATAGTGTTCGATATTACTGACACCAAAAGAGCAGGAAAAGTCATCTGTAGGTAATACAATTGTGGGTAATATTTTCTTAGATTCTTAATTATTCTCCAAATTCTACACAATGGGATTTTATAATAATTTAAAAATAAACTTTTTTGTATAATAGAAATATAATGGGATTTATTAACGCTATTTATTTAGCTATATTGATTTCCATTTTCCTAGTAGTTTTATCATTTAAATGACATTACGAGCAGAGTGAAATTCTTAGAGACAATGTGAGTGCTCTTGAGGCACTAAAAACATATTTTCTAGAAAAGTCTAGATGTTAGGAGAAAATACATCACATATTACTCAAAACTTATACAATTTAGGTGAATACCAGTTCCTCATAGTTGGCATCTAATTCCTAGAAACTGTGAGATGTTTCTATTATTGTTTACAAAACTCAATCAATCTGAAGCATTACTGAAGTTATACCAGAAACTTTCACAGTAGAAAGTTGAAGTAAACTATTGAATTTATTTTTATGTCAAATGTGAAGTATGGAGTTAGGTTGGATTAATCACATCTTTATATATCAGTCTCTAAAACTAACAGAAGTTTTTATTTTCAGTGATGAGGGAGATAAATATATATTAGGTGCCCAATGTCCCAGGGTGTTAGAGCTGCTTTAAACTCAGAGGCTGTAGCCCACAAGTAAATGGCTCAGCATCTGGAGTGGTACTGAATGGGGTTGAGTTCTCAGCTGCAGCTGTCACTTGGTGACCTTGGGCAATTGACAGACACATGTCAGATTCCTCATCTACACAATGGGTATAACAAGGGCAGTGATTTCATTGGAGCCAAACAGAGACAGAGGATGCCATGTGTGCAACGTGTCCCTGCAGTCACAGCCTGTGGATCAACTGTGAGGCTGGCTAGATTAGGGCAAAGGCAGGGACAGAAGGGACAGGCAGGTTAGGCAGGCCGGATGCCAGAGGCACTGGATTGAATGCCTCTCGATTTCAACTGTATCCTGAGGACACTGGGCACCACTGACTGCATGAAGTGAAAAGCATTTGCTTTTTAAGCCTTTCTGGAATTATAGGACAGAGTGTTAAAAACCGCTCTGCCTAACTGGCCAAGAGCATGTGGGTCTTGTCCTAGGTCATATTTGTATAGCATGACACAGTTTGTAAAAGGTACAGAAAGACTTCAAGGCAGCCTCCTCTGACCTCCTGGGTATCAGGTACCGGAGGAAGTGGGAAGGATCCTGTCCATGGCTTCCTGTTCTTTTGTGGAGGGAGGCCCCGCTGCAAAACTATCTAGTCCTTTCCTTCACTCCTGCCTCCCCAGGGGTGAGGCTGACTTACCTGATGAATGAGCACAGCAGGATGAACTGAGCCCACCTGGCTCAGCTGCTTCCCTGCCTCGCATTCTCTGGTCTTGATCTTGCAGTTGGCTTAACGGAGAAGGCCTGGTCCTGACCACCACAAGCTCCTTGGTTTTATTGCTGTCTGTCACAGATTGGTGACTTGAATTCAAGAGAAAAACTCAGACCCTGAGGCAACATTCTCCATCCCAATCTCAATAAAGGTAATATTTTGATCTCCGGCTACACAATTCCTATCTCCCTAAGTTAGCTCAGAATCACAAACCCCCATAGTGGTTCTAGGAGCAAACTCTGTATCAGCAACTTTGGTTTTGAAAGCACCCAGCACAGAATGAATATGTTTAGTCAGTAGAGTAGAACAGCTTTATAATACTGGTCAGAGAAAACCTAACAGCTGCCTTATATGCTAGACATATTACAGTATGGTCATGCAATTATATTTCAAAGGATGAGATAGGATTCATTTTCCATCTAAATCCATGTAATGATGCGCTGTGCTAGGATACAGTCCTTCTGAATATAGGCAAATACTACTGGGCAGAGCTATTTTGTTCTTGCATGCCATTAAAATGCTGTCGATTTGTAACAACAGGATTGCTAAAAGCCCCTGATGTCATCAGACATTATACTAGCATCAGCCGAAGAATCTCTGATAATTTTGGTGATAATGACCACAGTATGTTTGCTGCTGTAGAAATATATGCTAGGGCTTGTGGAATTTTCACTAATATAATTATGCTGTTTGCTGTGCATTAATACCCAGAGGCTGAACAAAAGATCAAGTTACTTTGCCAAATTCATAATCAACAATGAACAAGTAACCACTATTTTGAGACTGGTACCAAAGTTGGTCTAGCAAGGCATGACATTAGTTCTCAATAATTTTTCGATCATATGGCATTTCACCCACATGTAGAAATGCTACAGATATTTTACAAAGTTATGCTGCTATCATCATAATAAGGAATTTGGGGTCATTTAGAGAATCAGATATCACTGAAGGGAGTTTGTTCTGTAGAATTAGTTTAACAGCATTGTAGGAATAAATGGACTGAACAAATCACTTCTAGAACTGGGTATTTACACCAAATTTCTGAACTATTTGAAGTTGTCACATTGAATATCTATGCTAAATAGCAAACAATCAAATCAACCAGTAAGATTTCAATGACTAAGGAATGTATGTTTTCCAATTCTCTAACCTTACACTAAGATTCCTTCTTTAGCCACGTTAGTGGGTTTTATCTTTCTCAGTGACATGATGAAGCACATTAATTCGTCATTATGTCCCTGGCTTCAATCCACCAAAACTGGGGAGAAGAAATTCTACTGTTTAGTTTTATCTGTTCTCCTAAGGGATTTAAAAAAAAAAAAACAAAAAAAAAAACAATGGGTCCTCTGTCAGGAATAACATGAATACATGTACACATACCTGAAACACACATATGCACAATAAAAGACATTTTTAAAGAAACAAACAGAAAAGTTATCTCTTTCCAATCATCTATCAGTTCGTTAATTTTGCCATTACAAGGCTATGACACTTCATAATAAAAACAATCTTAAACAGCTGCAAAGAATTGGGACACCTTCAATAGCATAACATTGTGTTTCCGTAATCCATCAAGGGTATGATTAATTCAATAGTGGCACTACCAAAAGGAAAATGAGCAACAATTACTCTTTTCTTGCAAATACAAATGGCTGTCTATCATCCTTATTAATTATTGTTATTATATTATAATAAGAATATTTGATGGAGATTGGATGGTTAGGCAGTGAGCTATATTCTGTCCTTCATTCAAATACAGCTGTTTTCTTTCTCCCATAGAGGTTGTCTCTACAAAATGTTTTTGATATATCTCTTTTCCATTCAATAAATTTGCTTACAAGTAAAAATTTTTCTTTACTATACATAACAGTCTATAGATTTTGGACATAGCTACATTGTACGCTTCACATTTCTCCAAAGTTAGTTATGGCCACTCTTACCTATAATTGTGTATATTCTGTTCCCTCACCTTAAAACACTCCTCCCTCCATCCTCTATCTAATCTCTTTTTTTACTAGATAATTCCTATCCCATCTTTAGATATAAGCTCAGATATTGCTTTTCCTTCTTTCTATAGACTGCATTAATTTGCCATCATTTGCAGTTTCATATCATCACAGTTGTGGAATTTATAGAACAATAGTAGTTTTTGTTGTTGATATATTGAATCATTAACCTCCTAGAAAAGAGAAAATCATTGTCATATTTTATTGGCATATGGATCAGATCCTTTCAGCCACATCTGTGTGCAGGGCCATTGGCTACCTACTGTCATCTCAGTTGGAGGGACCATTTCTGCAAGAATTCCACCCAGCATAACACAGGCACAGCCCAGCAGCACCTTACCTCATACCTGTCATTCCCTAAAACTTCCCAATGGAGGCTGAGGCATGTGCAATCCAGAAATGCAGAGGAATTGGCACTCTAGATGGCAAACCTTTGACCAAGGGAAGCCCCGAGCCAGTGGATAAAGTCCTCCTCCTTTCTCTTCCAGAACTGGCTATTCTGAGGCACAGCCATTTAAGGGATTTCTTGGAAGGTATCAATGCAATATCAGTTATCACAGCTGGCTCTATCAGAAACCCTCATATGGACTCTTGTTTTTTTCCCTCCTTTGTTCTCCTTTCCTTCACTTTTGCTTTCCTAGGATTGTACTTGCTAAGAAAGAAGGAACATATAAGTCATTGTCTAAGGCTCTGTCTGCCGAGGAACCCAGGCTAAGACATAGAGCAACTAGGATATAGTAGTTATTTGGTAGAGTTGTTAACTGAATTAATAAAAACTTCTAGAATCGAAATGTTAAAGGCATACCTCCCTAAATATTTACTGTTCAGAAACTTATACAGTGTACACAGAGAAAAAATGACTCAGTCTTAGAGCTAACTGACATCAAGTCTATAATTATTAGCACTAAATTTCATACAGGAGTAGTATGTAGCTGCAGATAATGCTTTATTCCTTGATAATTTCCAAAGGTAAAATAATTGGTAACTCTGAATGTCCTCTCATACTTAGTAAACCCAAAAGGCTTGAAGTATGATTTGGATTTCATACATATGATAGAGCGCAGGTTATTGGCAAGGAAAGAAGCTGGGAGACACGTGGTTTTTGTCACTTGCTCAATCCACTTGCCCCATGAATTTAGTCAAGTCAGCTAAATGTTTTGAGATGTGTCTTCTTCACCTATAAAGTGAGAAAGCAGACTCAATTTATCTTTTCCAGCCCAAACTACACTGTGTATTTATAATATGAGCTAGATGCACGACCAAAATTCCAAGTCCCATGTGAGATTGGGATAAACACAGAAATAAGAATGGCTAAGTATGTAGTCAGAGGAGAGAGTAATCATAGAAGAGTAAAAATTTGCCTCACCAATGTGAGGATCCTTGCTTAGGAAATTCAGACAAGATGATGACACCTGTTCCTTTCAGAATCAAAATTCCACAAATCGCTGAAGTACTGGCAGACCTCAGAGATCTTACAAGTTTCCTTCCAGACCACTGCAATAAAATGAATATACTTACAAAGCAATTCACACGAATTTTTGGTGCATATAAAAGTGCATAAAAATGTAGGTTTACACTATATTATAGTCAGGTTGGCCTGAGGAGAGAGACAGGGAGAGAGACAGGGAATGGCCGGATGGTGGAGCAGTCAGTTCACCTTCTTATATGGGTGTGGTTGGTGGTGCCTCAAACAATTACAAGAGCAACATCAAAGATCACTAATCACAGATCACCATAACAGATATAATAACAATGAAATAGTTTGAAATGTTGCAAGAATTACCAAAAATGTGACACAGAGACACAAAGTGAGCATATGCTATTGGAAAAATGGTGCCAATAGACTTGCTTGATGCAGGATTGCCATAACCATCAATTTGTAAAAAAAAAAAAACCAAAAAAAAACAAACAAAAAAAACCACCACAGTATCTGCAAAATACAGTAAATCAAAGTGCAATAAAATGAGGTTTTCTATATTTCCAAAAAATATGCTGTGCATTCTAATTGGAAAGAGCAATTTTATATAAGTAAAAATAATTTTAAAGTGGTATATTAATAAGCACAGAAATGAAACAGTAAAAATCAGTGTATGAAGATGAAGAGAATGCAAATCCAAAAAGTTTAGTAGGCTGAAAATCCTATTTAAAATTTTTAGCATATGATCAAACACACACACACATACACACACAGAGGCATTCTAATAAGAGTTGGTGTTCTTACTAAGTCTTTAAAAAAGGAAAAGCAGCTCTGGTTTCCAGCTCAAGTAGATATTGGGCAAATACCTCAATAGACAATGAAGGATGTGTTTATGTTGTTCTACTAAATCTCCATTTTACAGCATTATAATTCCTTATTCCCCTTCATATCTACTTTTAATGCATCACATATTAATTAAATGCTCTAAACAAGGATTAGAGTCAAGTTATTTGAAGGAAAAATAAAGATTCATGTATAAATATTAGGTGAAAAAGAACTTATGTCAAGATGGTGCACTGAGCATAGACTAACCTTACCCTTTCCTGCTTCAAACACATAGAAATGCTAGCTAAAATATTTTAACACAACATTAAAAACCACAACAGATCTGAACAGAAAGAAAGGGAAATTTTCAAGAGAAAAGAAATCCATTGATGAGGAGTACAGGAACCAATGAAGTCCACAGCCAGGGAGTGTGGTATTTTTAATCTGGCTTAAGCCATAGAAGCCGAATTTCCAATGCCCAGGCAGGAAAATCTGGATTTGAAGTTTCAGGCTCCAAGCATATAGAGAAGGCAAAATTGGGCTTTCTGCAGACAATTAGAGCTAGGGCTATAATATAGATTCAGAATCTATGACAAGGAGCTTTAATATTCTTACCATCCGGTCCAGGGGATTAGCCTAGATATTTACCATGCATTTCAGAGTGTGATAGAAAAAGAATCACTGAAATGATATTGGGCATTGAGCCTGCATTGCAAGAGGATGCATATTCTGAATTCAAACTTTCTGTGAGGTATAGAAATCCCAAGCTAAGATAGTTACTTAAAACCAGGTTAGAGATGGTAATGATATAGGAATAGGGTAGTGGTATCCTTAAAACTACAGTATGAAGAGCCCCCACAATCTTACATAGAATAACTTAAAGAAGATGAACTTACCTATCAA